GTGCCACTGCACTCCAGTCTGGGTGACAGAGTGAGACTCCAACTCAAAAAAAAAAAGAGTAGTGAGGGCTGCCATGGTCAAGGAGGGATTCATGGAGGAAGTGGAATGTGTACTTCCTTAAAGGTGCCTTGGCAAGGATACAGAGGTGCATCTTTGTGGATTCTCTTCTGGAGTCAAGGGTCGGCCAGGTCAGATGGAGCACTTGGTGGGGACCGACTGGAGAGGGCCTGAGGTGCCAGGCCAGTGCTAGACTCTAGATTTTCTTCTGGAGGCCATGGGGAGCCACTGATGGTCCTTGAGCAAGACGGTGAAGAGAACAGGGCCGTATTACCAGACAATGAAGTGGCAGGAAAGATTGGGTGCATTTTCAGAGATCCCTGTAGCTGGCTTTGTGGATACTGGGTCACAGTGAGACAAAGCAGCTGGGGGAGACAGCCAATGTGGGAGACCTGTTAGAGTCTGTTGCCATGGTCATGGGAGGGCAAGCTGATGGCATCCTGGACTTAGAGGCAGCAGTGGAGATAGAGTAGTGAGGTCGGACTCCCAGCTCCTTTCCTTTCCTTACCCTCCCTCCCTTCCTTCCTTCCTTCTTTTTTTTAATGAGGCAGGGTCTTGCTATATTGTCCAGGTCAGTCTCAAACTCCTGGCCTCAAGTGATCCTCCCACCTCAACCTCCCAAAGTGCTGAGACTACAGGCGTGAGCCACCACACTTGGCCCTGGACTTCCCATGTCAACAGTATAAGGGGACTAGGTCCTCAGAAGTGCTCCCCTGGGCCAGGCACAGTGGCTTTGCAAAAAAGTTGAAATTAAATTTCTACAAAAATTTTAAATTAAATATATAAGAAAGGAGTTTTTTTTTTTTAAAGAAGTACTCTTCTACCACCTAACAGTGAGATCCTGAATTCAATGGGGTTCCTACTATATTGTTGGACTTTCTGTGAAGAAGGAAAATCAAGCGTATTTTTCCTGGCTCAGTTCATGGGCTAAAACTTAAAGGGGGAGACGGACAGCAAGGGGAGGATGCAGGATGTCCCTGAGGCAAATGTCAACAGCCATTCTGCACTGAACAAAGAGGCTAAGAGGCGCCCCCCACCCCAACTGAGACCCTCAGGGATCCCAGAGTAAGCAGCTACGTTCCTCTCCAGGGATGAGCGCCTTCTCTTAGGCTTCTCAGGAGGAAGAGCAGACAGCAAGACTTCACCATCAGAGACCACCAAACACACAGGGGAATGGGACACCATGAGCAACAGTCAGCAGAGACAGTCACTGTCGGATTCAGACCCTCACACTCTAGAGTAGTCGTGTCCAACCCGCAGCCCATGGTCGCACACAGCCCAGGACAGCTAGTCAGGTGGCCCCACAAAATCTTTTAACACCATGCTTTTCTTAGCGTTTATTTTCTTTGTGACCCCATGCGTAATTCCATTTTTGAAGTTCACCGTCACGCCTTATTCATGACATTGCTTTTTGGCAGCACATGCATTTGTGAGCAGCTGTTTTCAATTATGAGGAACATGGAGAGCCAGATTCAAATAAACAGTTCTCACAAGCACCTTAAGAACTCACTAAGAATTGCGACCGCTTCCATTGAGCCAGACATGGATAGATTCGTTTGACAGAAACAAGGTCAAATTTCGCATTAGTGTTACATTTTTCTTTTTCTTTCTTTCTTTTTTTTTTGAGATGGAGTCTCATTCCATCGTCCAGGCTGGAGCACAGTGGCACACTCATGACCACCCCAGCATTGACCTGTTGGGCTCAGGCAAGCCTTCCACCTCAGCCGTCTAAGTAGCTGGAACTACAGGCGGGTGCTACCACGCCCAGCTAATTTTTGTATTTATTGTAAAGATGAGGTCTTGCCAAGTTGCCCAGGCTGTTCTCAAACCTGTGGGCTCAGGCAGTCCTCTCACCTTGGCCTCCCAAAGTGCTGTGATTACAGGCTTGAGCCACCGTGCCCAGCCTCATTTTTCTAAACTTTATACTAAAAAAAGGTCTTATTACCTATATACACTAACTATATTACATAACTTATGTGGGGCTCAAGACAATTCCTCTTTACTTGATGTGGCCCAGGGAAGCCAAAAGGTTGAACCCCTCTGCTTTAGAGTTTGTTATTGATTTAAATTTTGAGACAGGGTTTTACTACGTCACCCAGTCTGGAGTGCACTGGCACAGTGGTAGCTCACTACAGCCCTCAACTCTTGGGTTCCAGCGATCCTCCCACCTCCTGAGTAGCTGGGACTACAGACACGTGCCACCACGCCTGACTAATTTAAAAAAAAATCTTTGTAGAGATGAGGTCTTACTATGCTGCCCAGGTTGATCTCAAACTCCTTGACTCAAGTGATCCTACAACTTTGGGCTTTCAAATCGCTGGGATTACAGACAGAGCTATTGTGCCTGACCAGATTTTGTAATTATGATATACAGGATTAAAAATATCTTTATTTAAAGAAATAAAATGCATAATCATAATAAAAGCCATCAATAGCAGCAATACATTAAAGCAACACATTTAAAAAATCAACAGGCAATTTTAAAAAAAGCACCAAATAAATCTTTTAGAGAGAAGTATAACTATTGAAATTAAAAAAGAAGGCTGGGCTCGGTGGCTCAGCCTGTAATCCCAGCACTTTGGGAGGCCAAGGTGAGAGGATTGCCTGAGCCCACGGGTTTGAGCCCAGCCTGGACAACTTGGCGAGACCTCGTCTCTACAATAAATAAAAAATTAGCCGGGTGTGGTAGCACACACTTGTAGTTCCAGCTGCTTGGAAGGCTGAGATGGAAGGATCGCCAGAGCCCAGCAGGTCGATGCTGGGGTGGCTGTGAGCGTGCCACTGCACTCCAGCCTGGGCAACGGAGTGAGACTCTGACTCAAAAAAAAAAAAAAAGTAAGTGGCCAAGTTAAACATCAGATCATTCCCAGCTGCAGGGAGAGTTAGTGAACTGGAAGAGAGAGCTGGAGGAATTATTCAGAATGTATCTCAGAGGACAAAGTGGAAGGAGAAGAGGAAAGAGAAGTTTAGAGACATGAAAACAGCTGTGAAGGTCCAATGCCCATTTAATTGGAGTTGCAGAAGGAGAGAACAGAAAAAAAGTGGGGAGGAGAAATAATCATTTAAAAATTGGGGAGAGAAAATAAACAGATGGATGGCCTAGAATTTTCCAGAATGATGGAAGAAAGGACACGATTCTAAAAACAGAAGAAGCAGAATTTCTACTAAACAGAATCTTAAAAACCCTTATCTAGACACGCTGTGTTCTGGAGGTCTAGAACGTCAATGACACAGTCCTTAAAATTAGAAAAGATAGATCACTTGCACAAGGGCGATGATCGGGCTGAAAGCTGACTTCCCAAATGGTCTCCTTTCCATCTCTCTAAATTTTTTTTTGAGTTGGAGTCACACTCTGTCGCCCAGACTGGAGTGCAGTGGCCGCTCCCGGCCACCGCAGCCTCGACCTGCTGGGCTCCGGCCATCCTTCCACCTCAGCCTTCCAAGTAGCTGGAACTACAGGCGCGTACTACCATGCCCGGCTAATTTTTTTTGCTTTATTGTAGAGATGAGGTCTCACCAAGTTGCCCAGGCGGGTCTCAAACCCGCGGGCTCAGACAATCCACTCACCTCAGCCTCCCAAAGCACGTGATTACAGGCTGAGCCACCGAGCCCGGCACATCTCTCTAATTTTAAGGACGATGTCATTGATGTTCTATAAGTTTCACCAAGGGAAGCTAAAGGTCAGTGGAACAGTATCTTCAAAGTTTTGAGAGACACGAGAGATGAGGGGGAGAGAGAGGGAGTGACTGATCGGACATCGGAAGGGGAGAGAAGAGAAGAGAGGAAAGAGACTGAAACAGAAGGGGAGAGGAGAGGAGAGGAAAGAAGGAGAGAAAGAGGGAGAGAGACAAGAGAGAGAATGAGAGAGGAAGAGAGAGAGGGAGTGACTGAATTGAACATCAGAGGAGGAGGAGGAGAGAGAGAGAGACTGAAACAGACAAAACGAGAGAGAAGGAGATCTGTTGAGAGGAGAGCCTGCTGGGGTGAGATGAGGGCGGTCTTCGCATCCAGGGGAAGGGTGTGACAGCGCGTGCCAACGGGCTTGGCCCAGAGCCACGCTGCCCACGGTCCAACCCCTGGCCCGCCATCAACGAGCTGTGGGATCCTGGGCAACACATTCCTCCCTGTGCCTCACTTTCCTTATCTGAAGATGGGAATCAACCCAGCACCACATCAGATGTCTGTGACTTCCCATGCTTCGTGTCCACGGGCTGTGTAAGTAAACACGACGCCCGGCACGCAGAAGCTTCACAAACGCCAGTGCCCGTGTCCTCCAGGGATCGACAGCTGGATCAACCTGAGCCGCGTGGACCCAGACGCAGAGGTGCAGGGTGAGATCCGCCTGTCGGTGCAGGTGCTGGAGGATGGGCAGGGCCGTTACCTTCGCTGCCACGTGCTCCAGGCTAGGTATGGCCAAGATGGTGGAAGTGCGGGTGGGCTGAGAACAAGCAGGAATCTCCTGGGTCCTCCCCGCCCCCTCCCCATCCCCTGCTGCTGCCTAGGATTTGGGACCTCTTTACTCCTTGGGCTTTTCTGGGCTGACAGCCTAGTTCCCTGTGTGGACAAGCGGTCCAAGCTCACTGGGTTACAAATTCCTCTGGACAAAGTCCTTGCCGGGTGCCCAGGGACCGGCAACCGTAGGCCAGACACTAGGATGGCCAGACAGATGAGTGTGGAGTGTGAGTGTGTAGTCATCAAACGGCAACTGAAAGACCCAATTCATACTAGCTTCAGGAGAAGAGTTGGTTTATTGGCTCATAGGCCTGGCGGGTAGCTTCAGGCATGGCTGGATCCAGGTCCCCACACGTTGACATCAGGAATCTCTGATTTTTGGCTCTACTGTCCTCTGTGTTGGCTTCATTCTTAGCCAGTCCCTCCCTGGGCGGAAGGTAGCTCCAACAACCCCAGGCTACAGGGGGGGAAAAAACCCACCTTTTATTTCTCATGGTTCCCAGCCAAGGTCCTGGGATTCATTTTGACTGGCTCAGACCTAGCGCGGAACGAGTTGTCCTGAATGACTGGTCTGGCCTGCTGTCACAGCCCAGTCCCAGAGGGGAGGGAGGGATTGGTGATTCCTACGTGTGGGCTGCGAGTAAGGGAGGAGCAGTTCCTGGCCCAAAGAAAAGCCAGAAGGAAGAGGGAGGCACCACTCATCCCTGTCCTCCCCTCCCTCCCTCAGTGCTCCGTCACTTTGCTTCCTCTCCTCCCTTTCTGTCACCTCCCATCCTGTCACTTTGCTTCCTCTCCTCCCTTTCTGTCACCTCCCATCCTGTCTTTCTGCTTTTTGCTCACACCTCCATCGCCTAGCCCTCACTTCTAGGCAGTCCTCCCCCAGACTGGGAAGCAGCGCCTTTCCTAGCCCGCCGTGTGACCATAAAGCGCTTTCTTGCCCTCTCTGGGCCTCTCCCACCGCCTCCAGACTTTGACCTCCAGCCTTGGCCCCAAGTGGGCTCCCCGGAGTCTGGATGAGGGAGAAGGGCGGAGGCGGGGCAGGCTAAGGGACTCAGCAGGGGCACGGGCTCCTGGTTGTCTTTGTGCCTGTGGCCCCCTCCCCAGCACCAGGGCTGTGCGAGATCCTGCAAGCGTGAGAGGGACCCGTGGCGGTTGCTTAGCAACGGGGCCAGCTCCTAGGAAACCAGCCAGGCTTTGGATGCAGAGCAGGGGTGGGAGGGGGAGAAGCAGGAAGCTGGTGGGGGTGGGGAGGAGGTGTGTTCCTGGGTTTGGGGATATCCCAGGACGGAGGGATGGGGAGAGCTGACTAGGGTAAGACTTGCGGGCTGTCATGGCAACTTGAGGCCAGGGTCCCGGCCTCATCCTTCCCTTGGGCCCTAGACAGGGTGTGGGCACGAGTGTTTGTTGAGTGAATAAATGGGTGGAGCCCTTGCCACCTGCCTGGAACTACGCTAGGCCCCTTCCTCATGTCATCCACCTAATGCTTGGCCCTGTGAGGTCGGTCTGTTGTTACTCCCATTTCCAGATGAGGAAACTGAGTCTCAGAGAGGACAAGCAACTCTTCCTAGCGTTACCCAGCCACGGAAGACCGAGCCAGGCTTTGAGCCTCTGTGTCTTGTCTCCCATCTAGGGCCTGCAGGGAAATTGAGGCTCGTCCCTGCTTCCCTGCTGTACTGTCACTTGCTGGGCTTTGGGATGCAGGGCCTGACCCTTCCGTGCCTCAGTTTCCCCAGTGGAAGGCAGTCGCTTGCTTGTGCCTCCTCAGGGGCAGTGCGAGGTGACGGGAAGGTCCTGGGTCTGGACAAGCATGGCCGGGGTGTTACGGGCTGGGCCCCTGTGGCGGGGGGAGCAGTGCGTTGCCTTGGAAACCGGCAGATTTGAATACCTGCCCCAAGCGCCCTTTCCGACTTAGGTCTCAGTCCTCCAGGGTTTCGAACTCCTGTCCCGTCTGTCCCCAGGGACCTGGCCCCCCGAGACATCTCCGGCACATCGGACCCATTTGCACGTGTGTTCTGGGGCAGCCAGAGCCTGGAGACTTCCGTGAGTTGGGGGAGCGGAGCCAGGAAGAAGCAGGGCACCTGGGGGGAGCCAGGGATCCCTGTGAGCTCCGTCACTCATAGACCACTGCCCTTGCCACAGACCATCAAGAAGACGCGCTTCCCGCACTGGGACGAGGTGCTGGAGCTGAGGGAGATGCCAGGGGCCCCGTCCCCACTGCGGGTGGAGCTCTGGGACTGGGACATGGTGGGCAAGAACGACTTCTTGGGCATGGTGAGCACCACTCCCTGCAGCACCCTCCATGGCTCCCAAGTGCCTCCCAGGGGCGGGAAGGGGACATGGGCTAAGCCTCCTGGGGCTCCAGGGTGGATGTGCAGCTGCCAGGCCTGGGCGATGAAATCCCACTGTGTAGGTGAGGAACCTGAGGCTCTCAGAGGAACAGCAGCCTGGCCAGTGTGGTGGCTCGCGCCTTTAATTTCAGCTCTTTTTGGAGGCTGAGTTGGGAGGATTGCTTGAGGCCAAGAGTTTGCGACTGGCCTGGGCAACACAGTGAGACCCCATCTCTACAAAAAATAATGAACAACAAAACAGGGACCTCCCCAAGCTCACAGGGTGGGCCAGATTCTCACTCTGGGCTGAGGACTCAAGGATGACCGTGTGCTGGGCCTGTGCTGCTCCTCCAGCCGAGGCTGGTTTACATGCCTCATGGCTACCCTGTGATGCTGGGCTTGTTGCTGTTCCATTATACAGATGAGAGCTCTGGCATCGAGAGGTTACTTGGCTTTCTCAAGGTTATACCAAGAAATAGCAAAGGAGGCCAGGCTTGGTGGCTCAGCCTGTAATCCCGCACTCTGGGAGGTCGAGGTGAGTGGATTGCCTGAGTCTGCGGGTTCGAGACCCGCCTGGGCAACTTGGCGAGACCTCGTCTCTACAATAAATCAAAAAATCAGCCGGGCATGGTAGCATGCACCTGTAGTTCCGGCTACTTGGAAGGCTGAGGTAGAAAGATCGCCAGAGCCCAGCAGGTCAAGGCTGCGGTGGCTGGGAGTGTGCCACTGCACTCTGGATGACAGAGTGAGACTTCAACTCAAAAAAGAAAAAAATAGCAGAGGAGCCAGGGTTTGAGTTCGGGTTTCTGTCTCCAGGATCTAGGCCTTAACTCCTACGCCTGGAGGCCCTGGGCTCAAGGTCTTCCTCTTGTTTTTTCCACCTGTAAAATGGGTGTGATTGTTCCTGCCTCTCAGTCATTGTCAAAGGTGGCTGCGTAATCAGGGCTGAGAGTGTCTCAAAGGAGGCAGGATGGTGGTAAGAAGGAGGTTGCCTTGCCTTGGCCTGCACGGCTGGCGGTGATGGAAATCGGTGCCAGCACTTTGGAAAGGGTCTGGCAGTCCCTCAGATGGTTCATGACAGAGTTGCCACACGACCCCACAAATCCACTCCTAGAGCAGTGAAGCCCAGGTTCATAAGGCTTTGACGTTAATCTTCATAGCAGCACTGGTCGTCACAGCCCAAGTGTCCATCACCAGGTAAACAAAATGTGGACCGTCCATACTATGGGAGATTGTTCAACCATAAAAGGAGTGCGGTACAAGAAGTCCTCACTGATTGCCATCCATAGGTTCTTGGAAATTTTGACTTTAAGCAAAACAACATGCTTTATGCCATGAAAACTTAATTCTTGTTTGTTTGTTTTGAGTTGGAGTCTCACTCCGTGGCCCAGGCTGCAGTGCAGCAGTATGCTCACAGCCACCGCAACCTCAACCTGCTGGACTCAGGCAATCCTTCCACCTCAGCCTTTCAAGTAGCTGGAACTACAGGCGTGCACCACCGTGCCTGGCTAATTTTTTGATTTATTGTAGAGACGAGGTCTCGCCAAGTTGTTCAGGCTGGTCTCGAGCCTGTGGGCTCAGGCAGTCCTCTCACCTCTGCCTCCCAAAGTGTTGGGATGGCAGGTGTGAGCCACCACACCTGGCTTGTTTGTTTGTTTTTGAGACAGGGTTTTCCTCTGTTGCCCAGGCTGGAGTGCCATGGCACAACTATGGCTCACTGCAGACTTGAATTACTGGGCTCAAGTCATCCTCCCACCTCAGCCTCCCGAGTAACTGGGACCACAGGTGTGCGCCACCACACCTGACTTTTTTTTTTAAGTTGTGGAGAACAAGTCAAGATTGGGTACATAAGTGGTTTAGTAAGGTCCCACTGGACCTTACTTGGCCTGGATTAGAATCAGGCATCCTTATTGGTGTTATGTATCCCCCCTCCCCCGGCAATGTCTTGCTATTTTTAATGTTTTTATTTTTGGTAGAGACAGGGTCTCACTATGTTGTCCCAGCTGGTCTTGAGCTCCCAGACTCCAGCAATGATCCCACCTTGGCCTCCCAAAGAGCTGGAGTTACAAGCATGAACCACCATACCCAGCCTTGAATGCTTGCTTATTTCTAGTAGTCTGTGGTAAATCTGGCTTCCTTACATATTGCTCAGCAAGGACTTGTTGTACCCACACACGCCACAACGTGGATGAACCTGGGGAACATGATAATGAAAGAAGCCAGCCCCCCAAACGCACATGAAATGTCTAGAATCGGCAAGTCCACAGACACAGCATGGGGCGGGGGCAGGGAGAGACTCTTGGTGGGTACAGGATGTCGTCAGGGCGCAGATAGAGAATGTTCTGGAATCAGTGGCACGGCAAATTACGCCAACTCCACGAATATGCTGCAAACATTGCACTGCACACTGTCACTAGGCGAATCGTCTCTCTGTAAAACTGTTGTTCAGAAAGATAGAAGGTGGGTTCGGGACTCCTGGACCGGCTTCAAGCCTTCTCATAGATGCGATGCATGTTCCTAAGCAGAGCTGAAAATGCCCTCAGTCCAGACACGCCGTCTCCAGTGGCTGTGTGACCCTGGCCAAGTCACTCTACGCTCTGAGCCTCGGTTTCCTCAACTGTAAATTAAGAGTCCCCTGGAGGCCCTCACTGCCCCGGCAGGAGCTAGGGATTTGGGACTTGCGGGGAAGAAGAAGGTGGGCCTGGCAGGCCATGCTACCCTGCTGGGGGTGGGCAGTCTGAGCTCTTCTCTCAGGGCTGGACTGGGCCTGACCCCTGTGGGGCAGGGCCTGAGGGTCTGTGTGTCTCCCCTAAAGGTGGAATTCTCCCCGAGGACCCTGCAGCAGAAGCCACCCAACGGCTGGTTCCGCCTCCTGCCCTTTCCCAGAGCTGAGGAGGATTCTGGGTAAATGCGGGAGGGGGCCAGGCTGGAGCCATGGGGGGCCTCACTTGGGGGCAGGTCCTCATGGGTGGCCCGCCAGCCCACACACTTCATCCGGGCCACCTCATTTGCTCCTGTGTCCATCCGCTTACCAGGCGTCTGGAATGTCTGTCAAGGCATGCTCGTGTGCACATGCGTTCCCCCGTACCACCCACCGACTCACAACACACACATCCGTTCACCCTTGGGTGTGTGCTCAGAACTTGAGGCCTTCTACACCTGTCCACACTGTCCATTTTTGGACACACTTGTTTACACAGTTTATAAGGTCTCCACTTGTCCATATTGGTTCACACCTGTTCATCCCTGTCCACGCCTGTTCATGCTATCCACACTTGTCTACACTTGTCCACACATCCTGTTCAAATTTGTTTACACTGGTTACATCTTTCCATTCTGGCCACACCTGTTTACACTCTCAGTGCGTGTACATTCTATTTTTACCCACCCATACCTGTTCACACCTGTCTATACCTGCCCACGCCTGTCCACATCCCTCCACACCTGTTCACACCTGTTTGTTCACACCTCTCCACGCCTGCCCATGCCTCTCCATACCTGCCATTGCCTCTTCACACCTGTCCACACTTCTCCATACCTGCCCAGCCTGTCCATACCTGTCCACACTTGTTCACCCCGTCCACATCTGTCCACACCCGCTCACACCCTCTCTACACCTGCTCACACCCACCCACACCTGTTCATACCTACCCACAATGGTTCACACCTGCCCACACTTGTTCATACCTGCCCACATCCGCCCATAACTCTCCACACTTGCCCACGCCCAGTCACACCTGCCCACCCTTGTTCACACCTCTCCACACCCGCCCACACTTGTTCACATCGGCCCACACCTGCTCACACCTCACCACACTTGCCCACACCCATTCACACCTGCCCCCACCTGTTCATACCCGCCTACACTCGTTCACACCTGCCCACACCAATCTTGTTTTGCAACCATCCACCCTCCTTGTCGGTGTTCCCTCTGCCCTCTCGATGCCCTTCACCTGCCGTACGCACTTCTGCCCATCACCGGTGTGTGCTCCCGGCCAGGGGGAGCCTGGGTGCCCTGCGGCTGAAGGTGCGCCTGGTGGAGGACCGTGTCCTGCCCTCCCGGTGCTACCAGCCTCTCGCAGAGCTGCTCGTGGAGTCCGTGCTGGGCCTGGCAGAGGTGGGTGTGTCTGCCTGGGTTCCCCCCGGGCTCAGGGTCTGGGCCCCTACCCCACCTCAGGGAGCCCAGGGGCCCAGGTCACCTCTTGGGCCTCCCGTCCCCGCCCAGGAGGACACTGCTAGCCCCCTGGCTGTGCTGGAGGAGCTGACCTTGGGGGACTGCCGCCAGGACCTGGCCACCAAGCTGGTGAAGCTCTTTCTCGGCCGGGGCCTGGCTGGGCCCTTTCTGGACTACCTCACCCGGCGTGAGGTGGCTCGGACCAGTGAGTGGCCCACGGGATCCCTGGCGTCTCTCCCCAGGATGGGCCTGCAGGAGGGCCCCTGGGGGAGGGGCGGGAGCCTCAGGCAGAGGGCAGGGGCCCCTTTTCGTGTGGATCCTTATGCTGTGCACCCCCAAATGGCTGGGAGCACAGTCCTGGGTTCAGGCCCTGGTTCTGCTGCGTGTGATCTGCTTGGCCTCAGGCAGTTCACTCAGCCTCTCTGGGCCTCGGTACCCTGAGTGGGATTGACGTTAGGGTCTCCCCCAGTGTTGAGGCTGGAAGGATCAGGACCCCTACCTACCCTGGGTGAATGGGGTGAGCCGGGCCCAGCCGCCCCAGGCACCAGCAAACGTTTCTCCGGTCCTCCCAGCTGACCCCAACACTCTCTTCCGCTCGAACTCCCTGGCATCCAAATCGATGGAGCAGTTTATGAAGGTGAGTGGGGGCGTGGCTAGTGAGCTGGGGGAAACTTCTGGGGGGGGCTCCCTGCCCAGGCCTGCCTGGCCCTGCTGCCAGGCGGCACCGAGTGGCACCGAGTGGCTGAGCTGTGGCCTCTCTCTGAACCTCCCCGGGGCCCAGCCTCGCCCTCAGCCCCCATGTGGCGCCCCTCCCCCAGCTCGTGGGCATGCCCTACCTGCACGAGGTTCTGAAACCCGTGGTCAGCCGCGTCTTTGAGGAGAAGAAGTACATAGAGCTGGACCCCAGTAAGATGGACCTGGGCCGCGCCAGGTAAGCGCTGAGAGGTGGACCCGCCCGGCAGCTCCCATCCTGCCCTAGGCCCGGCCACGCAGGAGCTCCGTGGCTCCTGGGCTGTGTGGTACGGCGGTCAGGGCAGGACTCTGGCACGGAGCTCCCTGGGTTCAGATCCCAGCTCCGCTCCCGCGGGTGGGCAGGCTGCCTGTGCTTCTGCGCCTCAGTTATGCCATCTGGCGCCTGGGGCTTGGGCCACCTGCTCCTTGGGTTGTTGAGGGAATTGGCCCGGTGTGGGGTGAAGGATCCCAGGCACCTGCCATCGCTGTTATTGTGGTGTGTGTGCAGGGGGCTACTTGTTCACACCTGCCCACACCTGTCTACACCTGTCCATACCTGTTGGGGGGGCCCTGTGGGGGCGGAGGTGGATCCTGGAGGAATCAGAGCAGGGGAGGAATCAGAGGAATCAGAGCAGGGGAGGAAGCAGAGCAGCGACTAGGGTCATTTCACGCCTCTGTGGGCTCCGCCTTTCTTTCCAGAACCTTCTCGCCTCCAGCCAGGGCAGGCTTGTTCTCATGGGGCCGTGAAAGCTGGTGGCTGGGCAGTCCGTTGGGGACCATGGTGGGGCCAGGAGAGGGTCTTCCCTTGTGCTGCCCACACCTTCCGACCACCCAGAGGCAGACATCAGACGAGACAGCTCAGAGAGGGGCAGTCACCTGCCTGAGGCCACACAGCCGGAAAGTTGCAAAGCAGGAAGTTAGCGGAGTCTGTGAAACGCCAGGGCAAGGGATCTTCCGAGCACGCCTGACAAGGGCGTGGAGACTCGGCACCCACAGGGGACGGGGCGTCGGGGACATGGACAGGGCAGGCTTGCAGGCAGGTTCTAATCTCAACCGCTCTGAGCCTCAGTTTCCTTCTCTGTTAAACGGGAGCAGTCAGGCTCCTTAGCCCATCGAGTGGCTGCTAGGATCAATGATACCATGCCAGGGATGATGAGTCCAGGGCCCAGCTTGGTGGGGGCGGGACCTGTGGGGGTGAGAACCCCTGGCCTCACTTCCGTGGGGTTCTCAGGCTGGGTGTGAGCCAGACAGACCCTGCAGCTACAGAGAAAGAAGGAACAAGATAGTGCAGATGGAAAGTGCTGTTCTGTCATCCGCCCGACGACGCAGTGGTTGGGCGCCAGGCTCTGGGCTGAAGATAGGGTGGGGGTGAATGGACACAGATCCCTGTTCTGGGGGAGACAGAGAATAAACCCTCTGAAGAAGGTTCTGGAAGTGATCAGTGGAGTGGAGGAAAACAGAGCTAACGGGGGCTTGCAATATTCCACGAGGTGGTGACAGAGACAGCCTCACAGAGAAGGCAGGGAGGAAGTCCTGCAGAGATTTGGTGGGAGAGTGTTCCAGGCAGGGGAACAGCAGGTGCAAAGGCCCAGGGGTAGGTGTGTCTGGCCCTGAGCCAAAACCTGGATGTTGAGCCATGGGGGAGGGATGGCCGCTATGAGGAGGTGACATTTAAACTGAATGTGAGTGCTGGGCGTGGTGGCTGACGCCTGTAATCCCAGCATTTTGCAAGACCGAGGCGTATGGATCGCTTGGGCCCAGGAGTTCGAGGGTGCAGTGAGCTGTGATTGCGCCATGGTACTCCAGCCTGGGCAACAGAGCGAGTTCCTGTGTCAAAAAGCTAAGCTGAATGTGGGGCCAGAGTGTCCCAGGCAAAGGGCACAGCCAAGTGCAGAGGCTGTGAGCCAGAGCGAGCTCGGACCCAAGCAGCTGCAGGGCGGGGGAGGGCATGGGCGGTGGCAGGCGCTGAGCCGCTCGCCGCCCCCGCCCCCG